CTTGAATATTAACATTTTCCGATATACACTTTGTCAACAACTTCCCAGTGAGCATCCCACTGCCGACGAACTCTTATCCGATTAAACTTTAAACTGACTTGACCGTCGGAGTGCTTGCGGACCGCTTCCAATCCCTCTGGGAAATGTCACGAGTGACTAACGACGTGCCACGTGTGCAGGAAGAGCTGACTGGATGACATTTTATGTTGGCCACGTGTCGGGGCCATTTTTCGAGGTCAACAAGTATCTCAATAGTGTAATTTTTTTAAAAACAATTTATTGATAGAAGAAAATATAATTCTTTTTTAATTAAACACAGTAGAAGCAGAATTTTATGACATCTTAACAAAATCCAGGTAGTTTCCAAGTGAAAAAGTATACATTTCAAAATCTCATTGGCTCCAAGACTTTGCTTCAATATCTGTTCATAAGGCCGTCTACATTGGAATTCCTTTCTTTCTATCTTTCCTTCCTTCCTTTTTTTACTTGCCTTTCAACAACCCTCAATGAGACGTTGGTAATTCGCTTGCTGATTTAAGAGGAAAGAAGTCAAATGCCTATCCAAATTTCCCTTTATTATGGCGTGACTTGAGGTGGTAGGCTATAGGATTAAGAACGAAATAAATTATTTAACAATTGATTGGCACTAATATAAGTCCTAGGATCTATAAATATTAAGCTCCTGTTTGATTTGGACAAAAATTATGATTATAGTAAATTTTAATAAAATTGATGAAATACGTGGTTGACAAGTTGATAAAAATTATCGATCTCATTAAATGTGTCATTGAAAATGAATTTCGAGAAAAAAATAAAATTTAAAATAAGAGTAAATAGGGGTTTAATTTTCTTTTCGATGAAATAATATGACGTTACGTTAGTGAAGTTTTCATTTAGGGCTTGGACTTTCTAAAAGAATACGATGATGTTTTATCTGTAATTTTTTAAAAAACCTATTTTCACGTTTTGGCACAAGATTTTATGTCCTTTTTGTGCTATTATAATTCATTTTTGATGAATGCAGTAGGGTTCAAGCCCAACTCCTCACTAATAAGCATATGGATTTCAAATTGTAATGGTAGTTATCCAACTTCAACCCAATTATAATTAGGTTACTAAACTTTAATTTGTAAAAACTCAGTCGCTTCACTTAACTTCGAGTGTTTTTCAGAATATTTTCATCCATCAATTCAATTCCTAACTCCCTATTGCTCTTAAAGAATCTTCAATTGATTTAGAGCAGAAGTGTTAAAAACTCTCACCATTATTGTTTTCATTCAGTCCCTGTTTGAGCCCATTTTCAATTTACATGTAAAATTGTTTTATAGAAAAATATATGATTGAAAATGAATTTTGAAAAAATGAGTTTTCAAAAAAATGGGACAAAACATATGCTCAATATGTGTTTTGTACTTCGCCATTTTCATAAGTTTCATTTTTGTACGCAAGTGACGTGACAAGTCCACATGGATGGAAGGATTTTAAGTGGGGCAAGCCGAGCAAAGACTTGGTCATTTTGAACCACTCATAGACTTGCGAGCTCGTTTGCTCATGTGTAAGCCAATGAGTAAAATATGGAGAAACATGCATTGTTTGAGAGAGAGATGTGAGTCGAGCCACACTTTTGTTGGGTGAGTCAGTTCGTCCCTTTTAACATTCCTACATAGATAGTTATGTTTACATATATGTTAGTTTACGAGCCAAAACCATGTTTTGTTAAGTACATTGACATATCCAAGCGGAATATTCAACTATTGCAAATTGAAGTCAAGTGATCTAATTATAGTTGGATTGCACTGATATGCATTATTTTTTTTGGAAAAATTCATAAATAAAGTGTATACTTTACACCAATTCAAAAATCAAGTTTATAGTTTGAAAATTCAAAAATCAGGTTATTTTTTATTTTTTATTTATGAAATAATAAATTATTAAATCAATTTATTATTAAATATTTAATTCTAATATAATATAATTAACTCATCCTACATGCACCACCCATATCGCACCGGGAACTATTCTGGCGACCATTTCGACCACCACTCTTCTCCGACGATCGTTTCGACGACTACTCCGATTCTGACAATTATTCCGGTGACCATTTTGGTACCTGTTTGAGCCCATTTTCAATTTAAATGTAAAATTGTTTTATAGAAAAATATATGATTGAAAATGAATTTTGAAAAAATGAGTTTTCAAAAAAATGGGACAAAACATATGCTCAATATGTGTTTTGTACTTTGCCATTTTCATAAGTTGCATTTTTGTACGCAAGTGACGTGACAAGTCCACATGGATGGAAGGATTTTAAGTGGGGCAAGCCGAGCAAAGACTTGGTCATTTTGAACCACTCATCGACTTGCGAGCTCATTAGCTCATGTGTAAGCCAACGAGTAAAATATGGAGAAACATGCATTGTTTGAGAGAGAGATGTGAGTCGAGCCACACTTTTGTTGGGTGAGTCAGTTCGTCCCTTTTAACATTCTTACATAGATAGTTATGCTTACATATGTTAGTTTACGAGCCAAAAACCATGTTTTGCTAAGTACATTGACATATCCAAGCGGAATATTCAACTATTGCAAATTGAAGTGAAGTGATCTAATTATAGTTGGATTGCACTGATATGCATTATTTTTTTGGAAAAATTCATATATAAGGTGTATACTTTACACCAATTCAAAAATTGAGTTTATAGTTTGAAAATTCAAATATCAATTTTTTTTTATATGAAATAATAATTATTAAATCAATTTATTATTAAATATTTAATTCTAATATAATATAATTAACTTATCCCACACGCACCACTCATACCGCTTCGATGACTATTCCGGCGACCATTCCGACTACCACTCTTTTTCTGCGATCGTTCTGGCGACTGCTCCCATTTCGACAATTATTCCTAAGACTATTCCGGTGACCATTCTGGTCACAGATTTACAATTTACGATCACATTTCAAAAATTTTATAAGTCACAATTAATTCGTTGGTCACAAATTTCAAAATTATTTGGTCACAGGTCAAACTTTATACGTCACACAGTCACATATTTTCAAATTAATTGGTCACAGATTTTTTTACGGTCACAGATAAAAAAAGGTTAATTTCATTGGTCACATATTTTCACATTTGTGAGTCACAAATTATTTTTCAGTCACGTATTATCAAATTTTTAGATCAAGTTAAATACTTGATCACAGATAACCAAATATTTGATCACATACCATTAGCACTACTTCAGCTACCACCACCACACAAAACATCGCCACCACCCACAGCCACCAAACAAAGCATAGCCACCACCCTAACCACCGATCCACCACCACAGACGCCACCATACAAAACAACTCAGATCCCATCAAATCCCCAGCCGAGAAAACCACTGTAAAATCACAACCAACAATAACACCAAAATCACACAACCGAGAAAACCACACACATCCGGCAACACACAGATCCGCCACCAACAACAGCAAACAACAACAACCAACCACGAACAACAGCCACACATCGATCCGCCCCACACCCACAGATCTGCCGCCTCTCCTATTCCCTCAACATCAATCCGCACAAACCACCGCTGAGCCATACACCCATTTCACTGTAATTTCGTCGTCTACCCAACTGTAATTTCCAGGTCGCCACATCCACCAACGACGCTACTGCGACTGGAACAACTTAGCAGTGCCGCGTTGCTGAACGCAGCAACGCTGCTGACTTGACGCTGGCAGCAGCGTCAGCAGCAACGCTGCTGCCAGTGTCGCGCTGTTGCGATGCGACACTGCTCGCGCTGTTGAACATAAGGGGAAGGGGGATGAGGAGAAAAAACTAGGAGGGGAGGGAGGAGAAGAGACGGAAGAGGAAGGAGGAGAAAGAAAAATGACTAGGGTTTGAGAAATGTGATTGAAATTTGGTGGGGTAGGTGGGAAGGTGGGAAAGGAGCGATAAATTAGGGTTATCAATCCGGATTTAATATAATACCTGATTTTTGAATAAATAAACTGTTGACATGATTTTTAAAAAAGTAATCTTTAAACATCTTATTTTTTATAATTTCCCTTATTTTTTTCACTTTTTGGCCCACAATCTTAAGTTTTTTTTTTTTTCCAAAAAATTGCTCCTCAAAAATCTTTACCAAATAAGGCAGGGCTCAAAAAAAAAATTTGTTTTTTGCCACACATCCACAATTTTATTTTATTTTACTTTTTTCAGAAAAATGCTCCTCAAAAAATCTTTATCAAATAAAGCATTTTCCCTTTTCCGAATACAGTCCAAGTGAAAAACTCATTTTCCATGAGCCCGCTTCTTCAGATACGTATTTGCACGTTGCTTTAAAGAAATCCAAGAAGGAGAAAGAAAAAGTCATTTTATGAAAAAGTAAAAGCAGAGTGACAGAGGCAAAAATGCAGTAGGAGATTTGTGAAAAAACGAAAAGAATCCAAATCAGCATCGACAACAATCTCTTTCCGTGCAACAAATCCTACCCTTTTCATTGCTCTCCCTCTCTATATAGACAGGTTTATATATATTATGTATGTATATGAGTGTATTGGTTTGAATAATATTGGGTCGGCATCTCATATTAAAAATTCATCTGGGTTTCTTTCTTTTAATTTGTAAGTGCATTTCCTGTTTCCACCGAGTCGATTAAACCATTTTTTGGTTTCCCTACTCTGATTCTCTGTTTAGTCATTATGAAGTTCTTTTCCTTTCATATTTTTGTGGGTTTCTCGTATTAAATTCCATTGACTGCGTTTCTTTAGTCGTGCTACATGAATTTATTGCTCACAAATTGGGCCACTGAGAAAAGCTATATGATTTTATAATGAGATGCGTTCAAATTCCTGATTATATTTGCTTTCTTAACGAGTGATTTGTGTCCAAATCTTTTATTTTATCTGACACATTAAAAGGGCCATCGAGTTTCATATTTTCTCTTGAGATATAATAAAAATTACAATTTTTTTGGTCATTTTTCGCTGTTTGGATGTCAAAAATGGGTCTCCTTACTCGCAAGTCACTCTTATGTTTATTCTTGATGACATCAGTAGTGTTCATATTATCTTGGTTCTTCGTGTTAAGATGGACTGGTCCGCATCACTCTGTTGATTTTACCACATTACCAAATTCCAAGCTTTTTGCATTGGCTTACAATGAGGATTCTGATGAATACTCAGTAATGAGTGCTTCAAAGGATAAAGAAGAAGAAGAAGCAACTTGGAATAAGCATTCCAAGAATTGTGATCCTATTAAGAAAATTCTGAAGGTTTTTATGTATGACTTGCCCCCGGAATTTCATTTTGAGTTATTGGGTTGGAAAGCCGAGGGAAAGAATTTTTGGCCAGATATTCGTGCAGAGGTGCCTGAATACCCTGGTGGATTAAATTTGCAGCACAGTATAGAATATTGGTTAACATTGGATCTTCTGAACTCTGAATTTGCTGAAAATTTGAGTGGTCGTAGTGCTATGAGAGTGCATAACTCAAGTGAAGCTGATGTGCTTTTTGTTCCTTTCTTTTCATCCATATGCTATAACCGGTTCTCAAAGCTTAATCCTAACCAGAAAAAGAGTACTAATTATTTGTTACAGGAGAAATTGGTTAAGTTTTTGATGTCTCAGGAGGAGTGGAACAAGTCTGGTGGAAGAGATCATATAATAGTTGCACACCATCCAAATAGCCTTTTAGATGCGAGGACGAAGCTGTGGCCTGCAATATATATTCTTTCAGATTTTGGAAGGTATCCCCCGACCGTAGCTAATATTGAGAAAGACGTGATTGCACCTTATAGGCATGTTATTAGAAGTTTTGTTGACGACTCATCTGATTTTGATAGTCGTCCGACTTTGCTCTATTTCCAGGGAGCTTTATATCGAAAAGATGTACGTTCACTTTTATCCCTTGCATATATATATATATATATATATATATATATGCTGCTTCATCTGGTTTCTCATTTTGATGTTAAATTTTCTTAGTAATTCTATTGTGAAATAGTTTGCAATGAGAATTAACGTTTCCTGTTCTGATAGTTATTCTTTGATCTTCATAATGCAGGTTGTTCTAATTTTTTTATATCTTAAATTATGTCTGGTTAGAACTTACTTCTGGCTTAACATGCTAATTTAATTGATTCACAATAGCAAATTTTATCCTATATTTCTCTTCCTTTGATCCCTCAATGATTTACAAGCAGCTAAAAGTGCTTCGTTTTATCATAAGCATGTGTGTCTAAAAAAAAATTTGCTCCCTCAAATAGATTAATTGATCTAGAATTGCCATTTTTATTGTTTGTTCAGTTAATAGCCATATGTAAATTGAATAACCAATAATTGAGAGTAAATATGCATTTTATTAGAAGAAAATTAGGAAAACTACCAGCAAGTCACGGTGGTACAATGCATCTTCTATCCAGGAAAAAACAGAAAAGGAACGTACAAATATCTATTAAAAGATTCATCCAAATTAGATTGATCATATAAAATGGGAAACCCTTACAATTCTTTATCTCTTAATTACCAACGAGAAGCTAAAATCCTATCCTTATTCCATACAGAGACCATCCAACTCTTTTCCTTCAAAATGTCTGTTATAACCATCAAATATTCAAGAAAACAAAAGGAAGATTTTGTCACAAAAGGAATACATGAAATGAAGGGAGATTTTGTCTTCTTTCGTCTTCTTTTTTTTTTTTTTCTCTTTTCTTTTTTCTTTTGTTTTATTTTGTTCTTATTTTTATTTTTGAGAGATCTGTTGTTTTACTAGTTGTATTTCTCTCCCATCAAAGGCAAAGAAGCTCTACCATCTATTTCCAATTCCAATACAGTGCATAGTTTTCCAAAAAGAGAAAAGGTGTTCTGCTTTGAGGCCAAAATACACCAATATTCTGAATTGCCCATTTAGCCATTTCATGTCTAAGGGGAGATCACTGGACCTACACATGGCTCCAAAGTTGAATCTAAAATGAGCTACTAAAACGAGATAAAAGACTGGCTTTCCTACACCTCTTGTATAAAATGGAATGAAGGGTTCATGGAATCCTTCAATATGCTCTTTTAGCATCCCAGGCTTTCCTACATCTCAGATCATGCTTTACTTCTCAAATTTGCAAGTTTTCCAAAATTATTGTGGTAATATTTTTTTTGCTTACACGTTTTTGAGATCAATTTCTCCCTTTCCTCTTATTTGCTTGTTCTGGACTCTCTTAAGTTTTTATCCAGTTTAGGATTATATGTAACATTTATGAGGTCCAATCAGGGACGGAGCCTCATATGGGCTGTACTCCCGGGCTGTCCGTTGCCCAACTTTTTTATTTTGTTTTGATATAAATTGAGTAAAAAAAATTTGCCCACTGCACAGTCCAAAGAGAACAACACCGACGAAGGTCTTTGAGATGGTACAGTAAATCTTGGTAGTTGTTCAATATTGAACTTCAACATAGAGTTTACAGCATTAAAAAGGTCTTTGGTGAGTAAAATATAAGCTTTATTGTGTTAGAATGTACAAAATCTACTTCTTGTTTGCTATTTTAAAATTCATTCAACCTCAAATTTTAATTAAGACCAACTAAAAATGTTTCTTTCTTTCTTTCTTTATTAGTTATCGAATTTCCACCAAGATAATAGATATCAAATATACTAAGTTAATATTTTTTTCTACACTTTATCACCATCGAAATTCTAGGCCACCCCAAACACTACATCTAGCTCGTCCCTGACCCCAATGGAATGATATTTGTGGATTGCTTCCTGCATGTAAGTAATTTATTCAGGGTAATTTATAATGCATCTATAGGTGAAATAGCTCTTTGTCCATGTCATTAGTAATCTTCAGTAAAATAGTGTTTTATCATATATTCCAGAGCTATGAAATGCACTACATTGACAGGTAAATTTTGAATAATGCTATCTAGCAGCATTGGTACTAGAACACGGAGTAAGTTGCCACACTTGATTGAATCATGTGACTTTACATTTAAGTGAATCTATCATTTAATGACATGTAGTTGCCACCTAGACTAACCGATCGGCACTTGTGCCAAATAGCATTACTCCTAATTTTTTCTTGAAATACGTCCAGCTAAATGTAGACAATCTGATTTCAAATGTCTTTCTTCAATTTTTATTTCGATTTGGCTAGATTTGCTAATTTAAAAAAATCAGTTGCCTTTGATACTTCCATGTCTAATGCTTCTGGATTCTTTTTCACAGGGTGGAATAATTCGACAAGAGTTATTCTACATGTTGAAAGACGAAACAGATGTGCATTTCTCATTTGGTAATGTCAAAAAAGACGGTATCAAGCAAGCCACAAAGGGAATGCACTCGTCTAAATTCTGCCTCAACATAGCAGGCGATACTCCATCATCAAATCGTCTATTTGATGCCATTGTCAGCCACTGCATCCCTGTCATAATTAGTGACGACATTGAGCTTCCCTACGAAGATGTTCTCGACTATTCTGAATTCTGCATATTCGTCCGTACATCAGATGCTCTCAAAAAGAATTTCCTCATAAACCTTATTAGGAGCATTGGGAAAGAGGAATGGACAAGGAAATGGAAAAGGCTGAAAGAGGTAGAAAACTTTTACGAGTTCAGGTATCCATCAAAGGACAATGATGCTGTTCAGATGATATGGCAAGCTGTTTCTAGAAAGGTTCCAGCTATTAAAAGGAAGCTTTATAGGGCTAGGCGGTTTTCTCGTACTATTGTCTCTAGACAAGGAGAGGTTATGTCCGTCGATATCCCAAGAAACTTTTGGTGACCTTTGATTAGGGCTTGAAACTTTCGACATATCAAGGTTTGTCTTGAAGATGGTGGTTGCCCTTTGTGCACTTGGAAGTGTTCAGTGGAGGATGATCATGAGCAAAAAGCGTGGAAAAGTGAAATTGGAATTGGTGGGGGAGGGGTTCAATTTTAGTTATATTTCCATCACAGTAGAAATAGTCAATCAATTTTGTTCTTTCATTTATCTGTTGAGTATCTCAATGTTGGCTGTGTAGTTTTAGTTGCTCTGACCAATTTTTAGAGTGAAGGCAAGAAGCCAGTTTTAAAATTCTGCCTTCTAGAGTAATTGAATTAATGGATGATTCAATAGATGAACATTTTACATTTTTAGGAGGATGTTAGTACTCACTGAATCACTAGTTTCTTGATTGTGAAGAGACCAGGCAATAGCATGTGGCAATTTTAATCGGACACTGTCTTCGATTCTATTTGCTCGACTTACTAATAATCGCCATCATTGCATTGCTTAGGTCTGCATAGTGGGGGTTCTCTTGTTATTGTTAAATAAAAAATAGAACGAAATTTATGAAGAAAATCATTAAAGAGTTTCGTATTTTCTGAAGCAAATACTAGGCTTGAGACCAAACGAACAATAAAAACAATTGGCGAATTACGTAAATAAACACTAAGAATTCAGAAGTAGGTTTCTGTTTAACCAAGATTTTTTCAACGAAATGTAGCAAAAGCATAGAACCTTTCACAGCCAATGACTAGTCCAGAACACTAGTAGATTACAAAATAATATCCTTTATTCATCTACCTTCAGCCAAAAGTCTCAATGAGGAAACCTTTGTAGATGCTCATAAACTTGGCCACAAACGCTGCAAGATTGATCAAGAAAAAAAAGGATAATATTCCGGTAGCAGTAATTAAATTGCAAGCTTCTAAAATTCTGAAAGTTGCATGGCATAAGATATAAAGATGTACAGCATCATTCTGATCGGTGCATGACTCCAGTAACAGAATATAAGATTGGTGAATTGAGAAAAAATATGAAGTTTTTCGGAACTGTGATGCTCAGTTCAAATGAATCACTCTGAAAAGTTGGAGCCCAAAAACTCAAGGTGGGATGCGCTTAGCGCACATCCTATCATTTGAAGCAACATAAGACTCTTATAGGTAAAGATGGCCTTGCAAAAACTCACACTTCACTAGCAGGGCCTGCCATTGGCGGAACTGGGATGGGGCATGGTGGGTCACCTGCACCACCAGTTTTTTTTTTTTAATTATGAAGATGGTTTTAGTTATTTTTTACTCCAACATTTTTCTTCTTTTTTAGATATGTACTTCATGGTGTTTACTTTCTCTTTAATCAGAAAGAAGCCAAAAATTACGTAATGATGGATTCAAAAGGTATAAAAGTCTCCAATGAACGAAGCACATATCATCTTAATATCTTAATTCATCCATTATTTAATTTTTACTTTTCGTTTCCTTTATTTTGTCAATAAAAATTTATTGATCAATTCCAATTTTTAACAAATTAAATCAGATAATTTTCTCTGTCAATCTTTCTGACTTGTTCTTACAGAATTAAAGTTGAAAGGATAAAAAAAAAAAAAAAATCAATCATTTACAAGCATTGATAAAGAATTCATCGAAAAGTTAAGAATTAGTAATTTTTTTTTTTGACAATTCCTCTCATTTTTAAGAAGTTGTCCTTACGATATATATAGTACCTTGAATTTAAAGATTATACGTGAATAAATGGTATCATAATGAGTTTTTTGAGTTAATTATCTCTTCAATCTTAATATTTTTTTAGGGTGGAGTGTGTTGTTGGCATTGAATCAACTCATTTCAAATTTCAAATTATTATATTTTATACTTATTTATTTAAATTATATTTTCAAAACACCCCATCAAGTTCAAGTCTAATTTAATTTTCGTCATAATTTGACTCATACATAATTTTATTATGGATGGCACCAAAATTTGATCTCAAGATCTTTATTTACTTTAATATTATATTTAACTATATTATCTAAATAATTAAATACTGAAAAGAAATAAATTTATTTATTTATATTCTATGTTTAACAAGAGTTATTTTGTAATGAATTAAAAAAATTTGATGGAAAGATATATAGATAAAAAAAAAATGTTAGATATACACTCCAAGTGCACATCCTTATTGAAATTTAATGTGCTATAAAAAGATGATTGAAGGAAAAATTGTTTAATGGTGTATCATCACGTGGCACGATGTAAAAAAATAATGTAAAAAATGATGTATGTGTAACATGATTGTATAAGTAAATGACTCAATAATGTCAATATAAAGTCTAAACACCTGGTACAATAATTACAACTTTTAAATCCTTCAACTTTATTTAATTTCTTACGAATTACCAAATTTTATTCACTAAATTTTCATTCTTCTATACAAATATTTTTCAAT